GGCCAAAGCCAGACTCCGCCCCGCCTGGGCCCAGGTCTTGAATCAAACCTCGGGAGGCAATGAACCCCTGCTCGAAAAACCCGAGCACCTCCCCAAAGAGCTCTGAGCAAGAGTAACTCTGAGCTGCAAGAACCCTCCTTGTGCTCCCCCTGGGGCCAGCCTGCGCGTCCAGAAGCACCCGAGGCGCGGGGCCCAGGGCGGACCGCCCCTCCCTGTGCTGGAGGCAGCGGGCGGAGGGCCGAGGCGCGGGGCCGGGCTGGGGGCCGGGCCTGCCTCCGTCCCGGAACATCCAGCCGAGCCTATTGTTGCCTGGAACCGTGGCTCCGGTCCAAGAGCTGCACTGTGACGGCGGGTTTGCATCTGCTCCCTCGCAGGTCTGCGAGCGCGAGATGAAAAAGGGGCTGTTTGTGAGATGGTTGCTCTCCGGGGAGCGAGGATGGGGGAAAATGGACTCGGCGCCCAGCCCTCCAGAGATGGCACCCCAGCCCCTGTGATAAATGGCAACATTAACAAGGTTTGGTTGAGAGGGGACCTCCAGATTTATGACTTCCTGTCTCCGCCAGCAGATGTCATTATGGCTGACAGAACAGAAGGCCTTTCAAGAGCGAGCTGGGGTGGAGCTAAAAAGAGGGGAAAAATAAAAATAAAATAAAAGGCAGAAGCCAGAGCGAGTGTTTGCTCAGCGGCGCTATTGTTGATACTGTCATTCTGGGGACACGGGGACGTTTTGCCCCAGACCGCGAACGTCTTGTACTATCTCTGGGGTCCGGCTTCAAGGATTCCAGCAGAAATTCTCTAATGGACAAACATACTAGCTTGAGTCAGACAGGAAAACCTGCCGGGTTTTGTTTTCCCTACTTATGCCCTTAAGACTTGTCCAGGATCAAGTGAGCACTGCCCTGCGTGGACATATATTTTACCCTGGGACACCGCTTGGTGTTTAAATGCATTTATTTTACAAATCCAGGGGCCCGTTCTGAAATTCCTTTGATGTACACACAGAGTTGCCCATTTGTACATTGCTTCAAGGGATGTCACCGGTATTTTATGGGCCAGGATTTTTTGTTGCGTTGAAACATGATGTAAATTTGGCATTCATCACGGGGCCCCAAACCCGTGCTAATAAGTACAGCTGCTAACACATACTTAACGCTAACTACAGGCCGTGTTCCCACAGTTCCTCGTTCTAATCCTCGCCTGAAGAGGTACCTTCTGCAGGTAGAGGAAGCATTTTTTTTGTTCCTAGTTGACTCTCTTACCTAATGAACACTTGAATGTATTCTTTGGGCTCAGGGAACCAGTGCCCCAAACTGTGACCCAGAGGGACTAACTGGTGACAGATGCTGGGATGCATTTAGTCCTGTCATGAGCAATTCACCCCCCACTGTGGCTGCACGGCCACTGCGCCTTGGCAGAAATAAGAAATCCTGGCGGACTTCGTGGAGGACAGCTACAGGGTTTCCTGTGCCCCTGCTGTCTTAAAAAACGAAACTGATGTCAAGCAGAAACCTGACAGAGAGCCTTCTGTAACTCATCCATGTTGTATTATGCACATGTTGTTGTGAATGTCTGGTTTCTGAAATAACACTCTTGTTGTGAAACCAGCCACCCCAGAGTTGCCTTTGCAGACCCGTTTGGAGTGGCGGTGTGGTGGAGGGAGGCTCTGGCTCTGAATTACGTTCCTGGCTCTGCCCCTCACTCCCTGTATTCTGGGCAGGTTCCGCAAGCTGTTTTCGCACCTGTAAGAGGTGGCTAATAATAGCACCATTCACTTAGCATTTCTAAAAAATAAGGATCGAATGCAGTGCTCCTGCAGTGATTAGCCAAGTGCCTGGCCCAGAGCTCAATAAATTAGCTATTGCTATAATGATTAACGCGAAAACATCTTCCCTCTTTACAGTGATTCCACAGGTAGACACGCAGAGACAGAGACAGACTCTCTGGCCGCCCGGAAGGAAAATCCAATAATAATAATAACATTAATTGCAGCTGTCATCTATTGAGTGCCCACCGTGTGCCAGAGACTGTGCTAAGTGCTTCCATGAAAAATCTTTTTAATTGAGTCCTTACAGGAACTTGAAGAGGCCAGGTACTCCAGCTCCCGCGTTACGTAGAAGGACACGCAGATCGGAGTGTGGGAGCCGGCGGCTGTCGAACTGTGGCGAGACCAGCCTCACACGGGCTTGCTGAGCATCCGAAGCGGGGACCCAAGATTCAAACACGTTTCATGGTGAGATGCTGCTGTGCTCTGGGGACCACACTTGAGAATCACTGGCTTCCGTCATAAGTAAGCAGCGGAGTGATTTTTCAGATTTCAAAATTTGAACCAAACTTTCAAATTGTACTTTGGACACATACCTGTGTTACTGCAAGGTTCCTATCATTGGAGTTTAGAATCAACGGTAGGTGGCTGGCTTCGTGGAGCACAATGGTTTGGAAAGCTTCCCGTTCACATGAACTATCCTGCCCCATGATGCTCTCCACGGCGCAAAGCAGTTCAGGACCCCCTAGACGGTGAGGATCTCAGAAACATTTTCAGAAGGAGCATCAAGAACTCATCATCCCTACTGCTGAGATGTGCGGCAGTCCTGGGGTGCAGGAGACTGCAGGGTTGGAGGGTTCATTAGGAGGCCTAAGATGGAGCCCAGCTGAGCAGACCACACCTGGGTGCCATCTGTGCCCAGAGGCACAGTGTCTCCTTGGTCTCCAACACAGCCCACCTGGGCCCTGGAGACGTCTTCATTGAATGTCTAAGGTCCATACTTTTCCACTGCCCAGGTGGGCCTCTTGCAATCAGTCAGCCTAGAGGACCATTGGTCCAAGCTCCAGTCTGGATGAAGAAAGGGGTGTGCGATGGCCCACACTAGAGAGTGGGGGGGTAGGAGAGAGACCTCCAGCAGGCCTGGTGAAGACAGGAATGGAGACAGGGGACGCAGACATAGAGCCAAGGGAACGCCTACGTCCCTTAGCGGGTACAGTACTACAGCAAATGGTCATTGGCACCTTCCTCATTCAGTGACACATGAAAAGAACTGGAGTTCAAATACCCGGGCAAGATTCTCATCAAGAAATGTAAACACTCAAGGACTTGACGACAACAGGTGAACTGAAGAAAACAAGTAGCCTCTGACAGAGGTGGGAGCTGGTTGGCAGAAGGTTGGCAGTGTCTGTTGCCATCACCCAGGATGAAGGAATAGAGCCCACAGCGGACTCGGTGTCAGGACCCTGGGGTTTCCATGCACTCTGTAGAGAGCGGCCAGCTGACCTTTGAGGACCAGTCCTCTTCTGGGGAGATGCTACTCATTCATTCATTCATTCATTCACTCATTCAACAAGTACTTGCTGAGCACATCTTATGAACCAGGCACTGTTAGTGACACCGAGCTCCTTCTCTAACGAGCAGAGCAAGACAAAATAAAACATTAACAGTAATCTAGTGTATTGGGCGTGAAGAGCGACAGGGAGAAAAAAATGAAGAAGGAAAATGGACGTGTGTTACCAGGTCGCGTGGTTGAAAGATGGTCTGTTTCCTTCCCTACCAATCAGTCCCTTTGGGTTGCAAGGGTAGAGCATGGAGTGAAACTGGCCCGAGGGCACAGGGAGCATGTCGGCTGCACGTAATTCAGAAGTCCGGGAGTTACTGGCTGTTTTCCCTCCCAGCACTCACTGCATTCATCCTTTCAGACATAACCCAGATTTCTACTCAAGCATCTAACTCTCCCCTATTTGGTTTGTATACTTCCGGTAGGCAGATCTCTCTCACTCCCAGAAGCGCCAGAGAAAAGCCAATCAGCACGTTCTGCTCCTTCCTGATCGTGGTGATTGGTTCTTGGGTGGGCAAAGGGTCCAAGGAGGCTGAACCTCAAAAACCTTCTTGAGCTCTTTTATTTACTGAACCAGGAGGGGAGAATTGTCACCAGCAGCCACCTCGTAACCATGAATGAAGTATAAAGAAGAGAGAGAGAGAAAAAAAAACATAGAACAAAAAACCCAAACTTAGGCTCTTGATAACATGAGCCTGGATAAACACACTCTTGAGCAAAGTTTCCCTACATCTAAATTTACTATTAAAAGAGTCAAAAATAGTCCAGTCAGGCCCTGGCCGGTTTGGTTCAGTGGTTAGAGCGTTGGCCTGCAGTCCAGAGAGACCCGGGTTCGGTTCCCGCTAAGGACCCTGGGTGGTCATGCGGGTGGCAACCACTTGATGTGTCCCTTTCACATCGATGTTTCTCTCTCTCTCTCTCTCTCTCTCTCTCTCCCCCTCCCACTCTATCTGAACAAAAAATAAAAAATGTCCCTGGGTGAGGATAAAAAAAAAAATAGTCCAGTCGGTGTGGCTCAGTGGTTGAGCATTGACCCCTGCATCAAGAGGTCACCGGTTTGATTCCCAGTCAGGATACATGCCCAGGTTGTGGGCCTAATCCCCAGTAGGGGGTGTGCAGGAGGCGGCCAGTTGATGTTCTTGCTCATTAATGTTTCTATCTCTGGCTCCCTCTTACTTCCTCTCTCTCTCTCTCTCTAAAATCAATAAAGGAAAAAAAATTAAAAGAAAAAAGAGTAAAAAACAATCCCCATTTATGTCTCAGAACCACTGGAGTTGGCTTTTTCTAATACTTTAACTAGAAAGGGTCAATGAGATGGAATGCCAAGTTCAGGAACAGCGACACCCAAGTGCCCATCCATGACCTCACAGACCTCTCTTCACATCTCCCTAGTTTTCCCGTTTGTGGACTCCCCTCTCAGCCGGGCTCTTCCCGCCACGACCACCAACAAGCTCAGGTCCATGTTCGTCGTCCTGGTAGCACCTGCAAACATTGAACGCATTCAGGCTGTTACCTTGGGACCGGTGCCATCTCCGGACCAGTTGCTGAGGTGAGGGAGGTGGAAACTGATGTGTCTGGGAGAGAAGCTCTCTCTGAGTCACGAGGCTGCCACCGGCCTCACCACCATCACGTTGTTTGAGAGAGTTGCTTCTGCAAAGAAAAATTAAGGCGTTAATTAGCACTTGTGTTTGTTTTTGTTCAATTTGTGGGCAAAGACTACTTACAGGTGCAAAAAATAAATCCTCTTTTGAAACCAAGAACTCATCATTCAGTATGAGTTTTGTTACATGTAAGAAGGAACCTGATAGCAAATCTATTGAGGAATGATTCCAGAAGGGTGGGGTGTGGATGTTGGACGATCAGAAACCCTACAAAGTCACTCTAATATGTAACTTGTGTGTGTACCTCACTTTCTCCATCTGTACAATGAAGAGGTTGTGACCAAGTAGAAAAACACTTTGTGCTCGTGCCCCCTTGGAGCTGCTCGAAAAATTGATGTGAGGATGTGACGCCTGGAGCCGGGGTGACAATTTTGCAGCCTTGGGTGACACACAGAAAGAGTCAGCAAGGAAGGACATGCATAGCCCGGGCTTGGCAGTTTGTACCATGCGCCTCGATATCAAAGTGAGACTCACAGGCATCTAAGCTTACTGTTGATGAGATCATTCAAATAGCCACTGTTGAAACCACAGGTAAACGTTTCTGTTCCTTGCGGCTCCAAGCATTCTTAATGGATACAGTCAGATACAACGGAGGCTCCCCAAGCAGCTTACAGCCGAAAGACGGCTGGAGAATCGGTCGTCACCAGTACCAGGAGTGTCCTGAAGAGGCAGTAGAGGGACTTCCATCAAGGGGAACCCATCGGGCAAAGAAAACGCATTTAACAACCAATCACATTTTTCTACCATGTTTGAGCATCAGATCAGGGGTTGGCAAAATTTTTCTTAAAGGACCCCACAGTAAATATTTCAGCATCGCAGGCTGTATTGGCCACTGTTACAACTACTCTACTCTGCTGTTGTAGATAAAAGAAGCCCTACACGATATGTAAATGAGTGGGCGTGGCCACGTGCCAATCAAATGTTATTTACAAAGAACAGGTAGCAAGCTGGATTAGCCCATGGGCCACAGTTCACTGAATCCTGAATGAGATCCATACATGAGTGCAATACAAACAGGCGATTAAAAATAGTTTGTAATACACTTGTTAAAATACGGTGCACTTCTGAGAATTCTGCATCACGGGTTTCCCGATGTCAAGTTGTTAAACTCACATGCTCTCTGACTAGTGATTCTGCCATCATCCTCGGGTCCTCTCACAGACGAGAGTGGAGGGGCGAGTCAGCTGGTCAGCTGCCCAGGGCACCAACGTCGAATGGGCTTAGAAACACCAGCAGTTGGGAGAACACCTCTGCCCGTCTCTGATGGGAAAATCGGCCGCTGTACAGGGAAAGAGGGAAGAGACACAGCACCACGTTGCGAGCCCTGCACTCTTTGCTGAGGACTTTGGTGACTAACACGCACGGCATTTGCACAGTCCGAGATGGCAGTCGTGGTGAGCAGAAATCCCAGAGCCCCATAAAGTGCAGTGTGCTGTGATTTACAAGGGATGTGATTTATATTGTGAATATTAAACCTTCTAATAGACCTCCCAAGAAGTGGCTTGGTTCAGAAAAGTCACAAAAGAATGCCAAAGAAAAATTAAAACTGCAGAAAACTTGGAAATATTTCGTGTTATTTTTAGAAAAAGAATATGGACTCTGTTTTGACCTATGAAAGTAAATTATAAAGTAATTCAGATTCAGAAAAGAAAAGAAAAGAAAAGAAAAGAAAAGAAAAGAAAAGAAAAGAAAAGAAACACATTCAAGGAAAAATCAGATTCGCTTTCCTCTTGCTAACTATATCTTGGACACAGTTTTTCAAAGACCCTGGATTGTTAGTCCACGTGACTCTCATTATAGTGAAGCCCGCAAACCCAACCGAGCATTGAGCCCGGAAAGTTAACAAAATGAAATGGACTGGGTCCGAGGAGAACTTGCGTCTTGTCTACAGGGGGCAACCTCTATACAAACTGCTTTATGACTGCAAGACATTCTTTTCCCTCTTAGAAAAGATCTCTAGATCTTTAGAAGAAGATGGTCATTTAACTTTTATGTAAAAAGTCCCCAATTTTATATACATTTTGTGCAAATCAAGTAAAATATATCTGTGGCTCAATCACACCTTGGACTTTAAGTCTCCTGCTCTGTTTTACACACACACACACACACACACACACACACTCACACTCGCTCACTATTCTAGACAAGAAACACACACTCTCTTAACCATTACTCTCAAGACACGCTGGACGCGGCTGAAGAAGATGGGTGTCTGCCCCCCGATGCGTCTCTCAGCCCTGCCTTCCCCAGACGAGAATTGTGGTAGGAACGGCAACCCTTCATGCATCTCGTGCTACGGATCTATTAGCGTCGCTATTTATGGAGAGGAGAGAAGAGAGTGATAATTTATACATACATTTGTTTTGGAAAAATTACACTCCTATCCTCTGATTGGCTTGAGTCCCCCAGAATATCACTTCCCCGTGATAGATAATGTGGCTGGAAGGGGAAAATGCTAAATCGTTTAAGAATTTCAAATTTTTACATTGTAGCAAAGTGTGTCATCCACGGAGCCACGCAGCTTCTTCCCCTTCCCAAAGTGTCACACAAAGGAAAGTGATCACAACAGTGGACACATGCCAAACACGTCTGCGGCATCCGCGCAGAGCGGGTCGCAATGGGAACACCACCCCTGCAGAGAACCACAGTGTTTAATCTCATTTCATCGCAACGTTGCGAGCTGATACCTTTGGTGTAGGCAGGAGACAAAGCTTATACAAAGTAGGGTAGAGACAAAGATCCTACTCAGACATTTTGAAAGGTGGGACTTCTGAGGTCCCTTAGGAAGAAAAAAACTTCTATATTTACTCATGTTTTTTTAAAAAAAATGTTATTGCTCCCGGCTAGAGTGGCTCAGTTGGCTGGGCATTGTCCTGAGAACTGAAAGATGGTTTGATTCCTGGTCAGGGCACATACCTGGGTGGAGGGTTTGATCCCCTCAGGGCACGTACAGAAGGCAACCGATTTCTCCCTCTCTCTCTTTCCTCTCTCTAAGCATGTCATAGGGTGAGGATTAAAAAAAAGTGTTATTTCATTTAGTGTAGAAAATGCTTCCAAGATGATAATGAATAAGGTGAGATGTCCAATTAATGAGCTGCTGGATGTTTCTGGAAGAGGCTTTAGGGCAATGAATACTTCAGCAGGAACGGTTGGGTGCAGTGGACCCCCGTTCTTGCTGTCTACCCGTCTTCCTCTTTCAGATAATACCACTTGGAGCTGAACACTCTGCCACGATCAGTCATGCCATTAGGGTGATACTGACCCTTTCCCTAGCTTTGGGGGGTGGACCCCGGCTGGCAGAAGCCAGTAACCCTGCGCTATGTCGTTTCTATGGCTGCCATGATTTGACTCATGGCAGAAACCCAGTCAGCATCAACGAAACCAGTGGAGGAAATTCCTAGGGCTTCTGGGGAAAAAAGGTCTCTTTGCTTCTTGAGAGACATTCCTTCTGTGGTCTGTGTGGTGTGAAGATAAGAAGATTCAAATGACTTTTTTACTAGGACAACAGAAGACCATGGAACTGCCCAGGGGACCCATGTGAGGCCTGAAGAAGTAACGGGTGCTCTGGGAGGCCGAGAGGAACGTGGAGAGGAATAAACTTCCCCCTCGATGACACTGGATCAAACCGTACCTGAAGTCGGTCCTGTCCCTGGCCTTTTCAGTGGTGTAGGTTTATATATTCGATTATCTTCAAGCCAGTTTGAGTTGGCGTTCTTGTTACTCTCGACAGAAAGATTTCTGACTCACCACTTGGTTTTGTCAAGGTGACGATGACCTATTAATATCCCTTCAATGTTTTATATGGGAAAAATGGGGCCATATTGTGGGTCTCTGCTTCACTGTTTTGTTTAGCATGTTGTTTTCAACTGGAATGACTACCTCCGTTTTTTTTTTTTTTAAATCCTTACCTGAGGATGTGTTTTTCTTTAAGTTGATACCTTTGGTTTAGGCAGGAGACAAAGATTTTGGAGAGAGGGAGAAAGGGGAGAGAGAGAAAGAAACACTGATGCGAGAGACACATTGACCAGTCGCCTCCTTTCACGTGCCCCAACCAGGGATCGAACCCTACACCTGGGTTATGTGACTTACTGGAAATTGCACCTGAGATCTTTTGGTGTATGGGACGATGCTCCAACCCACTGAGGTACACTGCCCAGGTTGGAATGAGTACCTTCTTAAATCCTTTTCTTCCTAGTCTCCTTGTCCACACTTGACAACACAGTTCAAACGCAACCTTCCCTGTGAATTCATCACTGAGAAGCGTTAGAAACACTTGCGTTTCAGATCAGCTGCGGCTGCCCGAGTAGAGGTTCAAAGCACGTGTGTTACATCAGGCAGACATAATTTTGAAACCCAGCTCTATAATTTACTAGCTACATGACTTTGGACCATTTACCTAAACTCTCGAAGACACTTTTCCCAACCTGTAAAAATACTGTTAATAATAGCTGCTTGTCTCAGACAACTTTTGTGAAGATAAAGTGAGCTCGGTCCTGCACGGTACTTATCGCGATGCTTGACCCAGACTCCATCCTGGGCAGGGACTCTGTCTAGAGAAATCGCCCAATAAATCTGATCTGCAGTTATGCGCCCAGTAAATACGTAAAAACTCATAAATAGAGGTTGAATGAATACATAAGTAAATTAAAATATGATTTGATGAAAGAAATGAACGGAAGCTAGAAGCGGAGAGGCAAGGCCACAGGCGGAGGGAGGGCGAGGCCAGGGGACGAGGGGGACGGGACAGGGGACACTTTGCTGCATGGGAGTGCCCTCCCGTGATCTGTGTCCCCGTCAGCGAGAACGTTCGGCGATGCCGCTCCCCTCACACGCCCATTACTGCGGGTCATCTGTCCGGAGGCTTTGACGGGCAGCTTGACGGGCAGCCGCACAGCAGGACACGTGGCCACAGTCAGTCTAGTCGGTTAAGCTCTGAGCTCAGCTCACCATGTCCTCCGGGCCTGTCACTCGGTGCCCAGACGGAATTCCGTAGAGATGGCTTAGTTCCTTCCCGTGGCTCCCCATAGGCTCTGAGAGAAGGTTCAAGAAGACCCTGAGACCCCAAAGACCACTAAGACTAAACAGGGTAATGTGGGTGTTCACTGAGGTCCCCCAGTCCTGAAGGAGCCGCCTCGTGGTCTCC